GTGGTGGTGGTATCTGTATTATCTGCAGCACCATCTTGGGTACTTGGTGACTCACCTTCTGCAGGTTTGGTGTCATTCCCAGCCGTTGTAGCATCATTTCCAGCAGCAGTTTCTCCGTCACTCCCTGTTGCTGAATTGTTGGGTGAAGAAGAAGTGGATTGTGCTGCATCACCTCCCTGGTTAGCTCCACTCTCATCTGTTGTATTGCCGCCGCTGTTTCCAGTTTGAGTGTCAGTTGGAGATGCATCCCCACTCTCCTCAGCAGTAGATTTAGATGGAAGAGATACATTAGAAGGTGCAGAAGAAGAGCCAGGTTCACTACCAGTATGAGTACCAGAACCCTGCCTACTGCCAACTGCACCTCTTTCACCTGGTGGACCAGAAGGACCACCGAGCTCATCGTGATTCGTCTCTTGTTGTGAAGATACACCCGGTCCCTTTGGTGAAGGTGGTGCTGGTTCCTTTGGTGCTGGTTCCTTTGGTGAAGTTGGAGCTGGTTCCTTCGGTTGTAGTTGTGGACACGGAGGTTCAGAATCTTTAGGGCAATCGACTTCGTTGTCACGACCCTCGGTAGGGCACTTTTCAGACGGAGAAGAGTTCTCACAATTATTCTGAGTACCTTCACCTTTCTTACCGCCAGTACGACACTGTTTACCATCAGGTTCAGGTTTACAATTATCGCCAGGAGGAGGTGGTGGTGGAGGACCACCCCCAGCACCAGCAACATTCGCTGCCACACATGCACAGGCAGTGCTCAGAACCAAAGCCATAAAACAAAGTCCACAACGTCGCATCATCAGCATAATAGTTTTTCCTTCTTGTTCTGCTCTGACCAATACCAGAAAGAACAAAATGAAAAGGCAAAAACAACACTGATAGAATAGAGAAACAAAGGTATGCAAAAAAAAGTGAAAGAGAATAAAAAGATATAAAACTCAAAGAACAACAACAACAGCACCAACACAAACAATAAAAATCAAATAAAGGGACGCAACGTACAATGCAAAATCAAAACAAAAACATAAAAATTAAAAGAACCAAAACACCTTCAAACAGAAAATCACCTCAGAACTCTCGGTATACATAAAATAATACGCAATTATAAATATAAATGTGCATCAGTTATTATTTGTTTTACCCCTTAAACCACAACACCATAACCACGCACGACACTCACACAATAACCCACAAAACAAAAGCAAATAAAGAATCCTTCACAATTAGCCAATATACCCAGTAAACACAGAAATATACATCAACTATGGGTGCAAATCTATATATGTGTGTATATGCAATTATAAATATAAATTCATTTGTTATTATTATTTCTTTTTCACTACCAAAAAGCAGTTCATCATTATCACAGTGCAAGCCCAGGTGCACACACAGAGAGAGTCTCCAAGAACACACACACACACAATGGAGTAGCAATAATAATAATTATAGCATAAACACAAAGATAGTAAAAACACACAAAATCACATTAACAATATGAAACAAAAAAAGAAGAAGAGAAATCCCAACAGGTGGAAGATTAGTTAGACTGTAGTGTGAATGCATGCAAAAAAGAAAAGAAAACAAAGGATGACCTGAGTCACACCACCACAATCACCACAATCAGCACACAAGAATACAGGCCAGTGTAACCACAATCAGTAGTGGTACACGCACCCACACAGAACTGCTCATACTGCTGCTGCTGTCTGCATCA